GTGTGGTGTTTTGGATACCCTTGGGTTGTGAATAGTTGTGAAAATATGCTTGGATGTCTATCTTCCTTGTATAACAAAAATTAGAAATAAAACTCATGTCATGAGCTAGTTTATAAAAAAAACTTTTTGTAGACACCTAGATCACCTCATTCAAACGTTAGATGAAGAAATAAAAGTTGCCCCAGGTTGCTATCAAATGATAGCAAAATTATTGTATGATATGTGTAACATGCTGCAATGCATGGCGCTTGTACCACAACATATAGCACAAAGCAGAACTGTCACGGCACATTGCCCTGTTTTTCATTCCTTGATATTTTTTAACTGATTCTAAATCTTTTCACTCCTATGAGATATCCCAAGTTTCTGAAACATTATTTTACTGTGATTTAAGGTTTATTAAGTGATGTTTTGAGGAATTTGATTTATGAAAGTTTGGGATCTCATTTCTACAAAATTCAAACTTGATAATATAAAAAGAAGATTAACTTATGATTATCTTAGTTAGCATGATTAATTGTATTTAGTAAGGGAGATATTTCAGCAAGAGTCAGTGTCATATTAGTTTGTACTTGCCTAGTCCTGATCTCATCCATGTCCATAATTATACATTGTTGTTCTTATGTTTGAAGTAAGAAGGATTTAAAAATATTGGTTCTTCACCAAGATGGTTGCTCCACATATAAAACTTATAATGTACTTTACATGAAACTCTTTGAAAATTTGATTTAAATAATTATGATTTTTTTATTAATCTGTTTCCCATCATATCCATTTACACCATATGCATTTAGTTTTTACCATTTGCTTTACTCTATATGCATATTTGATATTAATGACAATAATTACATTGCTCCACTGCATATAGGATGATACGAAGAATGTGTCTATTACAAGTTATTCTTTCAAGAAAGATCTTCCTATAAGATTGACACTTATTTATAAAAACTATAGTATTATAGGTACTTTACTAGTTTACTTTAAGTTAATACTCCCTTTATCTCAATTTATAAGATACTTTGATAAAAATAAAGTTTTATTAATGATATTTTAAACAAAATCACATGTATAAAGTTTATTAAATATACTTTGTAATAATATTTTTTTTAAAAAAAATAAATTTTTAAAAATGCACTTCATTTAATACTCAATTTATAAAAAAAATCTTAAAAAGAGAATATATGAGATGGGTAATATTAAAAAAATATTATTAATGTATTTTATCTTTGTTAGAGTGTTTTATATTTTGAGAAGTTAAATTTCTATAAAAAATATAGTATTATTTGAGATGGAGGGAGCACTATCCATTTAAAACACATGCATAAAAGACTCACCTTAAAAGTATTTTTTAAAAACAAAATATTAAAGATCCTAAAAAATCATATAATTAAGTGACTTATTACTTACATTTAGGATTAATTACAAAATTCCATCTAAAACCTAAAAAATCATTTTATTCAAAAATCATAAACGAAAGGGTCAATTTTTCTGTTGTTTAGACCGTGTGTAGGACAGCAGGGAACACCATGCCCGCTTCTTGTTAAATAAATAATCTAAATTCTAGATCAAACAGAGATGATGAGATTAATGCATAAATATTAGGCTTTAAATCAAAAGAAATTTAATATACCATAAGATATCGATCAAATAATTTGTAATGTAAAAAGAGCATGAACAATATGTCAGCCAAACTTTTTGGGAAAAAAAAAAATAAGAGATTAGAAACGCAAAAAAATGTCAGAAAATCTTGTAATGATAGATTGATTAAGAAAGTACAAACAATTAAATAATGATTAGTGCGCTTTAAAAGAAAATGAAATTAATTTGAAAGATTTTGGTTGGTCCGAGAAATTAGGTACAAAAAGCATAAGAAATAGAATTAGGATAAAACCAAAATGCTGTCACCCTATGTTTGATATGAAAGAGGACGCAGCCACCAAAAGAGTGCGATTTTCACTAACAAAAAGATTCTTTTTGTGTTTTTTGGCTTTTCAGAAATATGGAAAGTGAACTATGAATGGCTGAATTAGCACCACACAAATTGGTACATAGAATGTGAGAACCAAGTAAATGATAGTGTCTTTGGAATTTTCGGGAACATGATGAGGTGGGAGGATAAGCATGCTAATTGCTGACGTGGAATTTTTTTTCATCTATTTCATTGTTTTTCCATACAATTATTTGATATTCAATTTTTTGGGGCAACAAAAAGTTTAAATGAGTTAAATATCCAAATTCATCAGAATCAAATATATATCCAAATTTAAAGAAAATTTACAGTTGATATTCAATATTATAATTCAAAAGTTATCAGGTGAGGTGTGCGTAGTAAATTTGTGTAACAAAAAGGGGTTATTGTCAAAAATTATAAAATTGATTATATTTTTTGAAAAATTATTAATTTATTTATCAAGAGTTGAAAGTTAAAACTATATAGTGCCGACCTTGAATTTATGATTTTAAGTATATTATTACTTTTATCATTTAAGACTAATCGAGGGTGGTAAGGATGGAATAAGATGAAAGTAGAGATTAATGATTTAAATCCTCATATTATATGAAAAAAAAGAGATATTATTACTTGAAGAAAATCATGATAAAATTATTTTTAAGCTATAGATTTTTAAAATTTAATGGTTTTTTAAAAACTTCATTGTAACTTTTGGAAAGCTTAGTGATATTTATAATTTTTTAAAATTTATAACCTTTTAAAGGTTCGAATATATGGATTCAATCATCACCATTGTCATCATTAGCATTTGATTGGAAAGGATTTGATTTGATTTGATTTTTTTGGAAATATCTTAGTGATGGGATGAATTAGTGGACTGAGGAAAAGTGAGAATTGGATTGTGAATTCATGATAAGAATCTTGACTCGGTTCAACAAAGCATTAAGCAGAGGCATGCACACAAAATTCTTTCTCAACCCTACAACTCTAGTTAGGCACCCGTTTTCGTTGTTATTACAAACTTATCTTTAATTTCAAGCACATCATTCAACACTTACTACAATATATTGGTTATATATATATGTATGTATGTATGTATGTATGTATGTATGTATGTGTATATATATAGTTATCTATTGAGTCAGATTTGAGCATTATCAAATTTAATTAAAAGCATTTCTCTCTAATACATTTTTTACATTCACATGAACTCAATATAAAAAAAATTGTCTTTAAACAATCATAACATTTCTGATAGGACTAATGCTTGTTGGTGGACTGGGTCCTTTAAATTTGTATTTTCAGTATTATATATAAACTATATATTTATACCCTATAAATTTTTTTATTATGTATAAATATTTTTTTATTAAAGATAATCTTATTTAATATAGAATCAAATATTAAATGCAAGCACATTTATTATACTTAAATCGTCTACTGCATATGCTTTTCAATCTCAGCCATTCTCATAACTAAATCTCAGTTCCACCCTTGACAGTCTGTAATATAACCATTTAATTGTTATATGCTTCTTCTTCTTGTTTTTTTTTTGGTTAAATTAATTGGTTCAATAATTAGTTTGATTTGTAAGATATTGACTATTATCATAATATTTCAAATGTTAGAATTTTTTTTTTTGCAAGCTATATATTGGTATTGAATTCAATCCTCAATGATAAGTGAGTATAAGTTATTTGTTCTAAGTTTTTTTAGAGATTAAAATAATCTGAAGTACAGATTGTTAATTTAATCTTAACAAAGCGTAACAATAATATCAGAAAAGTTGTAATGCAAGTGGGATAAACCCATAATATTGCATGCTTACATAATCAAGAAGCCAATAATAATAAGTGATCCTTAATGATGTCTCACTGTCTCCCAATATTGAAACTGAAGTGTAATGGAAGTACAGTAGCTTACAACTTCACTGAAGAACTTTAAATAATTAATTAATTAATTAATCAATAACTCTCATTATTAAGGTACAGTCTTAACAATTTGGATCATTAGTGGTTCAAAAGGTGATTACTAAATTAAGAGAACTCAATTTTCAATTTCAGCTACTTGCGATTACTGATTAGGCAATATTTGCTGCCTTTTCACGTCTATTTCCCAGATAGCATTTTGAACTGGCGATAACTTGTTCAGATTCTCATATCTATAGTTTTTTTTATCGTTAGAAAAGCACCCTTAATCCTCTAATGTTTTACAAGATATCACCTAGATATTTCTAATTTTATGAAATATTTTTTTATCCTGTAATCATAACACTACTTGTATGTTATCAATCATAGTTATTTTTAAAATGACAAGACTTATATACTTAATTTTATATCTTAATATACTTTTATTCAATCAAACTAAGATATGCAGATATTAATGTATAAATAATATTAATAACAATAATTTATAATATAATAAATAATATATAATTAATTTAATTAAAAATAAATACCTTAAATATATAAAATCAGGCATAAAAGTTTTTCTTTTTAAAATTCAAACATAATATATTAATATTTAAAAATGGTTCATTAACATTTACAAAGTTCAATATCAGTATTTTTATAAAAAAAATAACACTAATAATATTATAATAAAAAATTTAAAAAACACTTCATAAAATTAAAGGAACAAGATAAAATCAAAGTACACTTCTTATCTTTTGTATTATAAAATCTTTATTTAACCATTACATTAAAAATGTTTATCTTACCAGTAAGGTGCATCAAATTTTAGGAGGATAAATTGATAACAATAAACATTAATTCCAGAATGTGACAACAAATAAAATCTTCTCTTTACACGGATAATTTCTTCAAAACTCTTCTTTCCTCAAATATGCATTTAATTTTGTGAATGCAAAGAGCCGAAGAACATGAATAGTACAAACTCGCTAATCAACTTAGATAAACATGATTTATGAAAACAACCAACTGCTTCTGTATCAACTCAGTCATTTGTAAATTCGTTTAGAAGTTAAAATAATAAAAAAGAACCTTACCACAAAAATAAAAAAAAATAAAAAGAAGAAAAGAAAGAAAGATTGACACAGAAAAAAGCACTATTATTTGTCAGTAAAAAATGTGATCATGACAAAACCCTAAGCAATCCCCCAAAAACACATTAACGCAACACCCCCAATAACAAAACAACAAAAGTAGACGTTCATGGCATGATAATACATCATTTTGTCCTAAAAATACCACTTTCCCACCTAACAAACTTGATCTCAACGCCTCCTTCAATAATATGCCTTGCGAGGATTATTCTGTTAAAAGCAAAAACAAAGGGAAATAAACAAATGGCAGTCAGATTATAATGTCAGTCTCAGACACGGGCACTCAAAGCCATCGAACAAAAAGGAAAGAATAGGACGTTAGATACTCCTTCTGGTCCAACAAATAAAATTTCCCAGCTAACTTTGGTTTAAAATATAAACTTAGTATTTGTTTAAAAAAAAATCCCATTTTACCGCTTACATTTATTAATCCATGTTCTTGTGTCTGTAAATTTATGATTCTCACTCATAAATTGAAACTAAAGGTAAAAAAGGAAAACAATATATACTTTTAAGAGAGTAAGGATTTTATCGGTATAAAAACTATTGTTAAAAAATGTTTATATTTTGGACAGGAAGGAGTGTGTATAATATACACACATGCATACCAGAGGGTTGGGTCTGTAACGATAACCAAGCATCATCCGCTTCTTGTACTGTTCATATATATCATCATCAGGAGTCACCTCCCCTGGTTGTTGAGCCCCAACACCCAAATTATTCATCTTAACATTGCCTGCCATGATTGGATCTGACATACCCTTTCCAGAGCTCCCTAATCCCTCACCTGCAATGTTGATGATCATTGGGGCAAGAAAAGAATGAGAACTCAGAAGTGGATGGTTATCAGAGAACACTAAATATCAAAAGTTTCTCGAGCAATCAAAGAAATTGGTACTCGGAGAAACAGGTGCATGCAAACATATCATAAAAGAGATTGACAGCAGACAACACCTAAAGCTCAAGCCAAGGTTATAAGGCATGATTTAAGTGAGATGAACTTGCGCGCTTGAAACGAAGAACAATGGAATGCACAATGCACCTTCTTTCCAGCCCATTTTTGACAAAAGCTTGTGGCCCACATTATCAGCCTGAATTTTTGCCTTCTCTGCAGCTTCCTTGGCAGCTTTTTGAGCCGCTGCATCATTGCACGTAGCTAAAAACTTCTCAAGTTCTTCTGGAGGGATGTAATCACCCATGTGATGTCCCTTTTTTGCAGGAGCTGTGGCTCTCAAAAGGTGAAGAAATCAAAATATTAGTCAACAAAGATTCTGTAAAAGAGAACCAAGCAATTGGAACTGGTATGACTGCTTGTATACGAGACCGAGGAACACATAATTACAAACAGAATCAAAATTGAACCTTGAAGACAAGCAGGAGGTGGCATCTCATCTTTTGACTGCTTCGGTTGTCTCCTCCTCTCCTCCTGGGCAGCTTTCATCATGTAGAACTCCATCCGTGCCAATGAATCAGCATTTGATACTGCACCAGGCTCATCTACAACAGATATAGCATGGTTTGCATAAAATACAAAATAAAGTTGCACATCTTGTTCATACTCTACGGTAAGGGTCTAGAAAACAGAAGCCAGGCAACTGGTAAAAATCAGGATTTTTCTGGAGTACAAGTAAATCCTTGATCTTTGTTGTCAACAGAGAGATGAAAATTAAAGGGCGGAAATTCTGAACATAACCAAAATCACCATTACATTAATATCATCCATACCAGCAGTCTGATATAAAGCAGATGCAGGAATTTGGTAAGTTGATTGCTGTTGAGATGTTCTCTGAGAACCAGTTGTTGATTTGGATGATGAGGTGCTCGTACTACCTGTACATAAGCAAGTACTCATCGTTACTTTGCAGACTATGACAAATAATGGTTCACATTCATGGGGGCAACCATAACTATGTTTCTCACATCTAACAGTGTGTTTGGATTAGTTTCTAACTGAGGTTGGGATGAGCTAACTGAGGTTAGGATGTAAAAAAGCCAAAAAATTTTGTTTGGATGAGCAAAATATTCCAACCTCAGTTAAGGTCAGAATGAGCTTTTTCTCCAAAGCCACCAGACCTGGCTTCTGCGTTAACGTTGGCATCAGCATTGCTCGTACAGCCGCACTCATGTCTCGGTCTCTACTTTCTACATCCCTCACATAGTTGCACTCTCGGTCTCTCTCTCTCTTGCACAAACAAAAACATTGCACTCTCGGTCTCTCTCTTGTTTGGTTCTCATGTTGTCAACTGTTGCCCAACTCGCCTGCCATTGCCCCTCACCCAACTCAAACTCTCCATTCTAACTTCCTTCTTCACCACTTGAATCACTGTAATGGTGATCGACAATGAGAGAGAGACAAAAATCAAAAGCCCTCTGTGCCATCTCTGCCTTCTTTCTTGTTTTTAACCGGCAACCATAACAATGTCAGAATCCTCGCATTCCTTCTCTATCCGAGCAACTGTAGGTGTTCGTGTAGTGTGTGTGTTCTCCGATCTGCTTTGTTTGCTCTTTCATGCATTCTTTGATCTTTATCCATGTAGTTGTGCATGTTCAGGTCTCTGTTTGAAGTCACGCATGCTCTTCCCTGCTATGCTCTGTTTTGCTATTCCATGTGTTCTCCGATCTTCCCTGCTCTTCTTGATCTTTGTTCAATCTTTGTACTCTCGATCTCTCTCTCACAAAGTCATGGTTGTTGCTCACAACATGATTCAGGCTCACCACACCAGTCACCCTCACGGCCTCACCCCTCGACCTCGACCTTCTTCTTCTTATTTGAGTTCAAGTACTCTCTCTCACTCTCGCTCACGATCACAAACTCACGGCTCACTAGTGGCAGTCACCCCCCTCAACCTTCCCTTCTTCTTCCACCTAGCTTTCTCATCTTCCACAATGTGTGTTGCTGTCGTCCCTTCCCCTTTGCGCTACTTCTCTCTTCATCATCTCCATCTTCAACAAATTTTTTTAGTTTTTCATAATTAAATATTTTGATTTTTTATTAGATAATATTATATAGTTAGAATTGAATTTTTTTATTATTTATTTTTTAAAAAATTAAGATTTTTTAGTTATTAATTATAATTTTGAGTTTAATATTTTTTTACTTTTTAGTTAGTAACAAAAAATAAATAAGAAAATTTAGGATTATTTTTATCATTAAACATCTCAACTTTTACCTTAAATCATCCAAACAAATTTCAATTTGTGTAACTGACTTCTGAAAAAAAAATATCCAAACATAAATCACGTTACATTCACTGACTTTTTTTGTAACCTCAGTTTGCTAACCTCAGTTGAATCTTAACCTTAGTTGTAAATTTTTTAATCCAAACACACACTAAATGTTGCTTGGTGAATAAAACAACAAATCCCAGGGACAAGTGGCTACAACTTTTAAACATGTCACATGCCCAAAGGTAGAATGCAAATCCAAAATAAATACAAGAACAAGTAAAAACCCCAGTTAACTATCTGTAAAACCATTGCACCTACAAGTCTACAACAAAACACCAATAGATGAGGAAGTTGCTTAAATTTAAAGCATAAAGGTGCATTTTTGTTCTTGAAGTATTTTCCGAAGAGCACCCAACACCTTAACGTTTTTGTTGGAACAGTTTTGCCCTTGCCATCAATTTTTTTAACAATCAATGTTTGAGGTCAACATTGAAAATTTGATGGAAAGGACAAACATGCTCCTTTTTGATAACGTTAAGGGCAAAATTGCTCCAACAAAAACGTTAAGGTGCTGAGTGCTCCTTGAAAAATACTTTAGGGATAAAAACACACCTTTACCCAAATTTAATAGTACAGGGTTCATGTCCTAAAGTCCAGGGATTCCATGGAATTCAACCAATACTAGAAAAAACCTGAAGAATGCATTTTTCAGAGAAAGAAATGTTGTTAAATACTAACCATTATGAGATTCCTGTGACTCCTTTGATTGTGCAAGAGCCTTTTCTTCTTGAGCAAGCCGATGTTGGTAATATTTGTAATCAGCACATTTCTCATCAAATAAGAATCTACAAGTTAAACCAGCAAACATGAACATGGAATCAAAACTTCAAAGTCATAAGCAAAAGATCAACATAATGAGGTTACTGTTTACCCCCCAAACTCACTTGAAAGGCGTATCTCCAGGATTTTTTTGACGTGTGACATCCTCAAATTGCCTTCCATTTTTCGCCACAAAACTTGCTAGTTTGTCAGCAACTTTCTTCACTGTAGGGTCACTTGGGGAAGGAGGTGCTGCATATCACTTAGAAAACTGATTAATACCAAGAGCATGAACAAGGGAATGCAAATTACTCTTGTAGCAGGCGTGCCACATATTCCAAATCTTTCATTGAACATCTCTTTCCACCATTCTTGATAGGTAGTTAAGGAATACACTGCATTAATAAGACAAAAACATTCAAGACAGTTTCTCCTATTTACTACGTGTCACTTAAATGAGCAGTGAAGGAAGCCACTGAGATGGCCCTTTAATAATGAAATGTGCAGCTTAAGGGAGAGGATAACTCAATTCTTATAAGAACATGCAAAGTGAAAAATAACATGATAAAAAACCATAAGACTAATATGGCTGAGGAGAAGGAAAGATCTTCAGATCTTACCTTAATAATGTATTAAGGCAAGTTCTGAACATGGTTCACAAACAAGGCCCAATTCACATCTTACTCTTCCCCTTTTGCTCAGAAAGTTAGTTAGAAATCATAAGTTTCTAACAGACATTGTCTTGTGATATTTTTTTCTTCAGCTTCCTTCCTTCCTAGTATAAATGCTTTGAGGCATTTGAGAGAAAAATTCTCATGTGAAAAGGTTAATCCACACCAAGGTTGAAGGTTCCGGATATCACTTGGACAATTGAAACATATTCTTTCTCAAGATGAAAGAAATATGTAAGTCACAGCATTTGAGACAGAAATCAGCCAAGAAATAGGACAGAATTATACTGGGAAACCAAATTAGCCAGAAGCACAAAGAATAGAAGAGACAGAAGCCAAGCAGATCAGCAATTAATAAGACACATCCAAAAGGTTAAATCTCAGTCATAATGAGATGCACGTTAGAAAAATAAATAAAAAAACAAATAACTCACAAAGAAAACTAGTCAGAAAATAGCAAAGATACAAACCAGATCGGAAATACATGTTAGCATTACACGCAAAGATTTGCACAAAAAATATGCAAACTATTTATAATATTCTGCGACAAATCATATTAAAAAACCTGCATCAAGAGAAACCAGAGATTGCAAGCCAACTGGACATAGAAAGTTTGTCTAAGTAGTAATTACCAACTTCTAGCCGTCTTGATGATTGCTCAGTGCAAGCGTCATTATTCAACTTCTGTCGTTTTGATGGCACATCACTTGAAGTATCACCAGCATTTGTTTCTTCTTCATCCTCTTCAGCACTCAACACAACAGGTGGCGGGACTAATTTTGACTTCTGTTTCAAACTAAAAGCAAGTTTTCCATTGGAGCTAGCCTGGGCAGTTTTCTGTGAGTCATTAGCCTTAGAGTTCACAGGGTTCTTTTTAATGGTCAAATTAGAAGTCAGAGACCCTGATACAATTTTAATCGGTTTAGGCTCCTTTAATTTGGCATCTTTGTCCTTCTCCTGCTCTTGTTGAAGTTGCTTGAACCTTTCCATGAAGGAACCATCATTAACAAAGAGGCTAGGAGGCGCTCCTTTGTCCATTAGGAGATGATCAAATCTAACGATGCAGTTTTCAGCAACTCACAATCTGACAAGAGAGCTTCAGGGGATTTTAGATCACAATGTTGCATTCTTAGTGTAATTTTGATATATGCAATAATTTAATCTTTATAAATAAATACATAAGAAACAAACTGAGAAAGTATAAATGATATACCAAGCCAACTATCATCAACCGTAAACATCATAAATTCATAACATTAAACAGAAATGCACAACTTTTACTAACAGCACAACAGCCATCAAAACAGAAAAGACGAAAGAAGAGGGAAAAAATAAATAATTTGTCCCAACAAATCAACACCAAAAAGCAACAGGTATCTATGATATGTCACATGGACAGATGAATAAGAGAAAGAGGAGGATAACATGAAAATCCTTCAGCAACCATTGAACCAGAACGACCGAAACACTACCAGCCATGGAATGTAGCGGTGCTATTTAAAAATATTGCAATAATCCCAGTAACCCTAGAATCTTCAAACAACACTTACCACTAACTAAATTAGACACATTCCGCAACAATACCGTTACAGAAAGGATCATTGACAATTGATTTTGAATTTGTAAATTGCAAGCACGGAATCACAATGAACAGGATCCCCAGGAATTCTTTATTTACTCCCCCCCCCAAAAAAAAAAAATGCCCCCAACACAAACCCTAGTTGTATTCCATTGTCAGCTATCTTCAAAACCATCAAACCGATTCACGTCAACATAGGATTATCAAAGGGTAGAAGGAAAGTAACTACAAGATTAGAAATTCAAATACAACGATGATACGAAAAATATGGTGGGACTAACATGATAGAGCTTATTGAATTAGATTTAATTAGCAAAAGTTGATATTATTCAGATAAAAAATGGATCGAACAAAGATTTCACCTTTCCCAGTTATAGATTTCGATATAACGCATCAGCTGAATCACTCTCCGTTTCGGGGAACGACCAAAAGGAGAAGGAAGACCTGGCGCAGAAGGACCTGGAAACAAGGCAAATAAGACAATGTAAAAACGCATGATGATATGATATCAATACACCTCTTTTTAAATATTCTGAAAAAAACAAACATAAAAAATTAAGTAAATATATTTAGGAACTTGTTATTCTTTTTAACCCATTAATTTATTAATAATTAATTATCACTGGTTCAAATTTGTTTATTTTAATTGTTAATAAAAAATTGAAAGTTAGTTACTTTAAAGATTGAATCTTTTTTTATATTTATTTTTTAACAAAATTAACTTTGTTTACCAAAATTAGAATGATTATTATTATTATTATTTGCTAGCATGTAAAGAATTGAAAGTCTTTTTATGAAATTCTATTCTACACGAGCTTTTAAATTCCAGAAATCTTTTTTTTTTAAAAAAACTGACAATAAAATATTTGTTAACTATATAAATGATAATTTGTTGTCTTTTTTTAACAAAGATAATTCATTGTCTTAAAATATCATAATTTCGTTGAAATTTCTATGAACTTCTGTATCAATAAATTTTAAATTAAAAATATTATTTTATTCTTATTAATAAGTTGTGATTTTTTGTTCAATTCTTGATATTCTTTAAATCAAAATTATTATTCTTTAAATAAAAGTTGTGATTAAAAATTGTTTTATTTTTTGGTTAGGAGAATTGTTATTTTGAAACCTTATTTTTCAATAATAGAAATTCTTGACAAGTTGTAATTTTTTATTTAATTCTTATGATTCATAGAACAAAAATTGTTACTCCCTCTGTTAAAAAATATAAGGCATTTTTAATCAAATCTCACTCCCAATAAAATAGTTACCTACTTTTCAACTAACCTTATTTTTTTATATTTACTCTTATTAAACTCCCTACAATAAAATAGAGTCATTATCAATAGAGATACTCGTGAAAAAAAGGCAATGATTACACCTCAAAAGATTAAAAATATCTTATATTTTTAAATATCCAACTCCTTAAAAAATGCTTTACATTTTTAAACAGAAGAAGTATTGTTTAAGCAAAAGTTATGATTAAGAATTATTATTTTGAAACAGAAATTACACTTTTTATTCAATTCTTGCGATTTGCGTAGCAGAAATTGTTACTTTTTAAATAAAACTGTAAAAGTTGTCATGTTATTTTTAATAAGGATAAAATAATTTTTTCACATTAAAATTTATTGACATAATAATTATAATTGGAGCTTGTTATTTTGATAGAGAAATTACATTTAATAAAGTGGTCCCTAAGGATTTTATTATCAGATTATTTAGTAAAATTATGATATTTTAAAATATCATATTATCATTTATATAATTCAATAGATTTTATTATCGTTTTTCCATTTTTCAACATGTTTTATTTTCCTTTTTTTTCTTTTTTTGATAGAAAGATTAATTAAATAAAATGAAAATAGCTTGCAAAGCATAAGTTTGAGCAACCACAAAATGAGAAGGAGAGAGAAAATAAGATCAATCTGAGAAACATTGAAGCAAATAGTACCAAAATTTTCAAGCAGCAAACTAACGTCAATCACTAAAGGCTGAACAAAATGAAGCTTCTGCAAAACATACGGACATGTTTGGTTAAACCTTTAACTGAGTTTGGGATAGCCTCGACCTCAGCTGAGAGATAAAACGCTCCTTGCCTCATCTGAAATCTTGTTTGGGAGGGGAAAAAAAAAAAAATTAAATGAGCGTTGGGGGCTAAACGAGCGTTATTCTTGAAGCCAGAATTTGGAGCTTTCCAACATGCATTAGATTTCCTTCTCCTTCATTCTCTCACCCCACCGGTTACCCTTTTACCCTGTCTTCCCTTCAAGCATGCATCAATTTGCCTCCAGCACCTTCTCGTGGACGTCGCTGATCGTTTTGTGCCAGCCACCGTGGTCATCCATGGAGGTTGAGAGTTCCGATGTGTCTGCTCCATTTTTCTGTGTCAGGACTTTGTTTTCTGGGTTTATCTTTCGTGACATTAAAAAAATTCAAAAATAAAAAGGTAGAATCTAGTTCTGAAGCTTGCCTTCTTCACCTCTTTGTGTTTATCTGGGTGTGGAACCACCTAATATACCTGAGTTTCCGCATAGATGAAAATGGAATTCCACTTTCTTTTGTTTTTGGTCAAGGAGTTCTAGACTTTCTGTTAATAAAAAATTTTCATGAACAAAAGTTTAATATTTTAAGTTTTAAAATATATATATATATATATATATATTATTTTGAGAGTAGAATCTGGCTTGGAGTCCAACATGCTCCTCTTTTTTTTTTTTTTTTAGTTTCTTCTCATTTCTCAGTTAAGGTATACGTGTGTTTGGGTATATTCTAATTTTTGGGATTTTTTTTTTGTGATATAATTAGCCACCAAATTATACATCACATGAGACACAATTAATTGTACATTGCTAAAATTGAATATTTTATCATTTATGAATTTATTTTATCCTTTTAGAGTTGAATATTTTGTAATTTATTAATTTATAAATTTACATGATTAAATATTTTATAATTTATTATTTTATTCTACCTTTATAAAAATTAAAATTTTTTATTCATAAGCTATTTTATATTTTTAATATACTTTTTATAATAATTTTATGTTTAATATTTTTCCTAAAAATATCAAATGAATCACAATATATATATATATATACTGGAAAATTTTTGTTTAATTTTGTCATTATATATCTCAAGTGATTTTTGAATCAAATCATTTAAAAAAAATTTATTTTGTCCAACTGATTTTTAAAAAAAAATATCCAAACATAAATTATGTTAAAATCACAAACTTTTTTTCTAACCTCAGTTGATTCTAACCTTAGTTATAAATTTTTAAAAAAATTAATCTTTTAGTCCTCCAACTTTTAAGTCACTTGTAACTCAATCCCTCAACTATAATTCACTGTGACTCAGTTTCTCAACTATAACTCGCCTATGACTCAGTCTTTCAACTTTTGAATCACTTACAAAATAGTCCCTTAACCTTTGTTAATTTTTTTTTTCATGTTAGCTTATATCTCACATTAATGAATAAGAAGAGAGTATTTTAAAATAATATATGAACATTTTTTATCCCTCCTATTTGATAAAATTTTTTTTAAAAAAAATTAAAAAATAAGGATCGAGTTATAGGCAAATCAAAAGTTGAGAGATTGAGTTGAGTCGCAGCGAGTTATAGTTGAGGGATTGAGTCGCAGCGAGTTATAGTTGAGAGATCGAGTTATAAGTGAGTTAAAAGTTGAACGACTAAAAGATTAATTTTTTCTAAATTTTTTAATCAAAACACACATATAGTTGTAAAGCTTCTTTTTGTAACATATCATAAAAAAACCACAACAATAAGTGAATCTCTAATCTATTTAATTCTTGATCTATATGAGTAAGGCTGTAAGGTAGAATAAAATGAAAGAGTTGGGTTCAATGGATGAAGAGCAATTCTTGACAAAGCTCTTAATAGGTTCAAAGTTTATGTATAAGATAGCAAAGCAAACATTACCACCTCTTTTAAACTTGGTTGTCTTAATATTTCAGCTCCAAATAAGGAGGACCATCGAATGACAATTTCAAGCATAACCAGGTGGATTGAAGCTACATGAAAAACTACTTCTATCACTGATATCATATTGATGATATATATATACATATATATAAAAGAGATGGTGACATTGATTATGAAATTCCAACAAAACTTGAGTAGGGTGATGGATAATCCAATTATGAAAAGTAAGGTTCCTCTTTTTAACCTGTTATATTTTTTTTAAGTTGACCATTTAAGTTTGTCTATATTAAAAGACTTATAATTATAATAAATTATATGAGACCCTAGCTTGGTATTAATTCAATTTATCCAATTTACCAAGGGAATACTCTTTTCTTAAAATCCTCTCAAGCTTTTTCTTTGATCATCTTAAAACCAAAAAAAGATTTTTTTTAAATATAACTCCATTGATAAACCGTTGTGAAAAATGAAGACCTAGTCATATTTATAGTCAAATAAATTCTATAATCTTGTGGGGTAACTTCATAGATGGAAGTAACCAAAAACTTATGACTCTTTGAGAGCCTTTGACTGCACGAAAGATAGTTTTCATTTCATAACATCCAAATTTACAATTATCATCCCCAAAACTAGGGGTGTTCATGGGACGAGACGGGATCGGGACACTCCCGTCCCGTGTCCCGTCCCAAAAAAAAATCGAGACTGAATTTTGATCCCGTGTCCCATCCCGAAAGTCATCCCGTCTCGTTAAGAGTCGGGACGGGACCGGGACAAGATCGGGACGTCCCGTCGTCCCAATAAATAAAATAATATCGAAAAAAGATCTGAATAATAATGTTCATTAAAATTTTAAATTATATAATTTATTAAGTTTAAAATCAAAATAACACAAGTACATAAATAACAATAATTTAAAATCAATTATTGAATTATATTAATCACAACTACATATTATAATAAAAAATACAAGTAATCTTTATGCTATAAGATTAGTAACAACAGGCAAGTCAAACACAACATTAAATAATTATTCTTTTACTTTAGTGAAGATGTACTAAGCTAATTACTCTTTTAAAAATAAGCAAAAAATATGTTATAAATAAAAGTTATTATATAGATAGATATAAGAATAAATTATATTATTAATTTATATATTATAAAAAAGATATCGCCATGTTTACTCCATACCATTAAAATTATCAATATAAAAACACTTTAGTTTTAAATAAGAATTGTAAGTATTAAAATTATAATTGATATAATTAATATAAGTATAAATTATATTAATATAATTAATATATTTAAAATAAAAAATAATATATATAATATTCGGGACGGGACAGGACGTCCCGATGGTAATCCCGTGTCCCGTCCCGTCCGGAATCCCTTTCTTGTCCTGTCTCATAAAGTCTCGTCTCGATTATTTTCGGGCCGGGACAAGACCCGTTCCGATATGATCGGGACGATACCGGGCCAATCGAAACGGATCCAGATTGAATACCCCTACCCAAAACATTAGTAGGTTAAGGTTACGAGATTAGGGGACTGTTTGAAACTATTTTTATTTTATTGTTCTGAGAATTAGTGTTCTCTAAAACATGTTTTGAAAACAAAAAAATAATAAAAATATGTGTTTTTTTCATTCTTTTTTGTTCTCTAAAACAATAATTACAGAACATTTAAAAGTTATTTTTATTTTTCTATTCTTCAGAATAATATTTTATTTTTTTATTTTTTAAAATATTTTTTGAAAACATGTTATCAAATGAATTTTTTTTATTTTTTTATTTTAAAAATAAAAAATTATTGTCAAAAGAGATCTCCAAACAGATCCTTGATTTTCCACTTACAGTAAAACTTTTATATTACTGTATTACAAGATCATTGACTTGCTCAAAACACTTTAAATAGCAATGTCCATGGATGCGACACTAGGGGTGTTCATAGGTTCGGTTTGATTTGGTTTTGGGCAAAAATCAAACCGAACCGAACCATTCAGTTTAATGATAATTGAGACCTGATCGGTTTTTATGAAGTTCGGTTTGGTTCGGTTTTATTTTCGGTTTGGTTCGGTTTGGTTAAGGTCTTGATCAAGTTTTAATGCACTTATTTAATTTTTTTTTTCCGTTTCTCCATCTTCATAATAGTGCTGTGTACTAAAATTAAATTTAATTCTTTTTGACTCCTTTTTTTCATAAATAGAGGTATAAAAATATAATAAAATTTCAATGTGATAACAATAATTAATCATAAAAATTGATATAAGTTTTTAAGATTAAAATTATTTAATATTATATATTTTCATTAAAATCCTTTCAAAATGTTTATTTATGTATCTATATTTTAATAAATAATGAAAAATTTATTATACAAAATTCAAAAAAATGTTTCTTGTAGATAAATTGAATGCTGAGACTTTTAGGTTGTAAATAATTAAATGATGATCATAGCATGATTATTATAATTAGTTAATATTATACATCTTCATTCAAGTATTTTAAAAATGTTTATTTATTACTATAAAAAATTCAAAACAAAATGCTTCTTGTAGATAAATGATTATATATTTTACAAATAAATAAATAGAATTTTTTTAATCAAGTTTGGTTCGGTTTGGTTCGGTTTCTAGTACTCAAAACCGAACTTGAACCGAACCAATTGGTTTTTATATCATAAAAAACGAAGCAGACCTGATTGTTGTTCGGTTTTGATCGGTTTTTGTCGGTTTGGATTGGTTTGGATCGATCCTTTCGATTTGGATCAGTTTTGAACACCCTTATGCGACACGATGTTCATGAATCAGCCATGTAGTGAGATGAGATACTGAAACAAAGACGACGGAGTTCAATTACATCACACAGCAATGGAGATTTGAAGGGTAGAGGGCCGAAAGAATAGAAGGGACGTCCTCATTGATGGACTTCACGGGCCTCAAATCCCTACACATAGCAACCATCTTCTATTTTCGACAAAAAGCTTCTCTCTTTCGTCCCTTCAACTTAGTTCAGTTCAAACACACCCTCCATCTTTATCTTCCCTCTCATCGTATCTCTCCCCTCTGCTCGCTAAGTAATTGTCCCTATTTTTCTTGCATCTTTTGAACATTTACATTTCAGGGTCTTCGTTTCTGGGTGAATCACGCCATGAATAATCCTAACCAGTTCGATTTCTGTGCTGTCTGACAGATGGGGAGGCTGAAATAAGTCAAGAGAGCACTTTGCCTCGTGGGACTGGCGAGGCAGTGAATGAGGTGTCACGTCCCAAAATTCTTCAGGTTGTGCTGGTGTCTCCTCAGGTATGTTTCAGTTGAGGTTCAGAGTTTTGTTTTCTCTTAAAACATCTAATGTACCTCTTGCGGCTTGTGAATTTGATTTATTTTGGTTTTGCATTTGGAATTTTATATTTGCGTGTTCAGATTATTCATTTAAGTTTCCACAGTAGTTATGGGGAAAACTTGAAGTTGGGGCAACTTGCTGGCGTGGTTAGTTACATGAGAGATAAATGAATAACATTTATAGCATGGGATATATGAAATCGGTAAATTTAAGTTCTTCACTGCTTACATGTGAACCAGATTGGGTTCTGCTGTCCACTATTTATCAGTATTCAGAAATCTTACTGCTTTTGCGAGGCTTGAAGAGTTATGTTGGAATTTGATATGAATAGTAGAACTTGCAAATTAGCTGGTTGAAGGCCAAGTTCTAATCTTCTTGATTTGAATAGTATTTGATGGCTATAAGAGTGTTTTCTTAATGGGAAACTGGATTAATATATAAATGATTATCCTGATAAATTCCTTAATCCTCTCTGATATGACATCTCCTTTTGAATTTTGAAAGAATGATGTATTTAAGGTTAAAAAACAAGTTGTGTTTTGTGAACTTGTTGGCTACTACTGATCAAATGCATTTTTATATTTTGTAAGAATTTTGTAGCAAGGACTAAAATGATGAAGTCAGGGATTATTATGCAGTATGAAAGAAAAAAGTGCTTACTATTCAATAAATGATGTGCCTGCTTCTTATTTATTAGATTAATATCAAAGTTGGCAATGGATTAAGATAATATTTCATCTATGCTTCTTCACTCCTAAGTAGAATATGATGTGATTCTGCAGATGATAACTTGATTGTGGATAGCTTGTTTCTGAAACCTTTCAATTGGCATGCTGGTAAAGATTGTTTTAATTGAATCTAAATTATTGTCCCCATTATCTGTATTTTAATTGCTTCAAAATTATGTCATTTATCTGCTGATGCTAATGTCTGAATTATCAGAAGAAATGAAAAGAAACATAGATGAAGACTGGTTATTGTAACTACCATGAGTTTTGACTTTCGATGCAAAGTTGTTTCTTAAATATTCACGTTATTTGAATTGCTTCTGTGCATAGAATTAAGAAAATTTAAAGTTTATATAGCCATTAGCCAAACAAGAAGTTAAAGTTTACCCCCACCCAGTAATTTGGCACTCGTAAAGTGGAAGCTACTTTTTTTAAATAAAATAAAATAAAAGACAATGTAAGGATACCCTAAATTTACAGACTTCAAAGCAATATATTTGATAACATTTAGCTCATTAACAGTCATTTTTATACCATGTTCTGTTTCAAGTCACAGACAACCTTAACTTCTGAAGGCCTGATTTTCTGTTGACTCTGGCAGATTCCAGGAAACGCAGGTGCCATTGCTAGAACATGTGCAGCATCAGCTGTTGGACTACACTTGGTTGGGGTGAATATTGCTTCTCTAAATCTCACCTCTTTTCATCTGACATTGAAATTGTATTCTTCTATCAAATTTGCAACTGATAGTGGTGGTATTACTCTATCCTTTCAGCCAATGGCATTCAAAGTGGATAGCAATAAACTAAAGCGAGCAGGACTAGATTACTGGCCGTATCCTTGGAAATATGTTTGTAGATTTCTTCTATGAAACCCTCTAATCTATGAGGGCTTATCTCTTGTTATTTTAAACAATATCAGTATCTAATAACCTAATAATTGATAATATGTTATGCCATTGTCTATTTTTCTTTATATAACTCAAGCTCTCACGTTCTCCTTCTGCCCCTTTATCTGATTATCTCCTTTGAGTTTTGTTTTCACAAGGTTGGATTGGATACTTTTGGCAGATTTGGAAGTTACATCTGATCCAATATCAACATGATTGCTTTTTTTTTTTTTGGGCAACATGCACTTGTTTGTTTGTTCAGCTCTATATTTGTTTTCCAGTATTAATGCAATATTGCAGATACGTAGTTGTTAAAATTCATGATTCATGGGTAGATTTTCGTGATTATTTCAGGCAGCAGGTATTTATCTTTCCCAGAGTAACTTCCGCTAACTTTTATTGCAGTCTTTCCTTTTGGATTGAATGCAATAGTGTCCGGAAGTCATTTTAGACCTTACTTAATCTGAGTCAAGCTGGCTGAACTCACTCAATGGGGGCAAAGCTCCCCATCACCTATTTTCTTCATTCATAACTCTTGAATATGAAACTTTATTTAAGGGGAGCAGAGGTCCTTGTCACTCAGATCAAAAGGTGTTGGTTATATAGTCTTCCTCTGATTCCACATGTCACCATTGTTTGGTGCAGGAGGGTGAAAAGAGGCTGCTAGCATTGACAAAGAGGGGAACGAAAGTTCATTCAGTGAGTTGCCAGTCCTTTTGATAAGTTACTTCCTCTAATGATGACATTTCTCTCTTTCATTCTTTCAGCCTAACTAATTGACAAATCTGTCTCAATTGTCATTAGTTTTTCTATGTTTTTGTTGAAATCTTTAATGCTCTAAATCATTTACTTTCCTTTGAACCCATTGTTCATTAAAAATAGATAGTCGCTGTCATTCATCTGAACCACTAGAACTGAAGGAAGATAACAAGTTTACTGAAGAAAAAAGTACTAAAACTATGCTACAAATTTTGAACCCTATTAACTGGCACACTTCCATATATATATAGATATATATCTATAACTTGTGTAAAAGAGGGGAAAAGAATAGCTGTAATTTCCAATTTGAAGATAAATAATGAATAAGTGCTTGTATACCAATACTACCACGAGAACAAAGAATGAGGCCGACAAGGATCAAACTCATAACTATTTGATTACATGCACTATTTGAAGGACAACTTCAGTGAAAAGTTTAAGCTGAAGTCTGGAACAATTTTTAAGAGTAAATTACAGAGATATAAAAGTCTTATTAATCTCCTTTATTTTCAAAATCAATTCTAACCTCCCCAAAATTTTGCCAAATTATACAGACATCCCTACTATTTTCAAAGCAATACAGAGATCCCTGAAAACAGTGAGTATATCACGCAAACCTTTACCTTCCTAGAGTTTTGTTAAAATTGCAGAGACTTATTGGGTTCCAAAATATGCTCAAATCTCCCCTGAAAATAAAAAAGAGTTCTACGTAGTTTGATTTTTCCTTACTGGAGGTAATGTAAGGGAAATTTGTGTAATTTTTGCAAATCTTTGGAGAGGTCCACCTGATTTTCTTCATGTTAAAGAGAAAATGTGTGTAAGTTTTGAAGATAAAAAAGTGATTTGTGCGATTTATAAAAGAAAAGAAAGGAAAAGAAAAAGAAATAATGAAATTTTGTGTCCTTCAAATTTGGTTTAGTTATGATTTGGTCTTTAAAATTTAGTTTTATCAATCAAGTCCCTAAAGTTTCATAATCATACACAATTAATCCTCATGGTTTGAAGGAGATGTTAAATGGAAATTGCTTGTGATCAAGGTGACTAATTCTTTGATGTTTAGGTTGAAGACATGTAATCCTAGACACACTTGTGTTGTAATTGTATATGGTCATGGGACTTTGGGGATTTCGTTGATAAAGGAAAAATTTCGGGGACCAAATCAATAACTGAATCAGACTTGAGGGACCAAAAGTTTCATTATCCCAAAGAGGGAAAAAAAAACTCAAGAAGGATTGGTATAATTTGCTTCTTTACCCTGCAGGACTTTTCCTACAGAAAAGGGGATTATCTTTTATTTGGCTCTGAAACGAGTGGCTTGCCTCCTGAAGCCCTGCAAGATTGCAATTCTGAACCTTATGGTGGTGGCACTATCCGAATCCCAATAGTTGAAACTTATGTCAGATGTTTGAATCTTTCTGTAAGTGTTGGTATAGCATTATATGAAGCTTCCAGACAACTGAACTACGAGCAGCTTCGAGCACCTTCTGTAACAAGTAGTGATACTGAAGAATCATTTGTTACTGAGGACATTTTTGGTTGAAAACTAAAATTTACTACAGATAATCACATCTTGACCAGGTGAATTTCATTCTTTCAGATTCTGTCATGATGAGTGGGTAAATTGAGCCTTCTCTTCTCCCATTCAAATGCAAAAAAATTGGTGGAAGAGTGAATCTATTAAATATAAGGAGACCAAGTCAATTATTAATGAATGTATAAATTCGCTGGTCATATTTTTTAGTGGGATTTACTTATGATATGTTTACATGTTTATTTACTATTGATTTGGTATCTTTTGAGTTTATCGTGACGCTTCTTATCTTTGGCTGGGTCTACATCTAAAGTGGTATGAGTGGATCATTTTGGGACCAGGTCAAAAGATGTGCAGTGTGCTTCCAACTTGGACTTCATTTGACAAAGAATGAAAGAGAAAATGCAGGGGGGAAAATTTAGGATGGAAACATGTCAAGAGATAAAAAATTGTTGATGATTGATTGTAAAAGTACGATAAACAGTGTAAAACCGGGAAAAAGAAATCTCTTTCCGTTGTCATTAAACTAAACACATTTGTTCGTGCATTCCATGGAGTTTGAAGAATGAGGTAATATTACTTGTAGTTTGTGAATGGTATGACTTGCTATGGATTTGATTTTATATTTTGTTGTATTGATGAGGCTTTGATCTGTCTGTTTCTGTGGGTGAGGAATCTCCCATTTCCCTTTTCATGGGCTTATAAATTAATGTCTAGTGTACCCAGATTATACACCAGCTGTACAACGTACTTCACACGGAATAATTATTTTCCCTCCTTGCTCCTTTATTCCTTCCTCCTCATAGTGATAGCTATTTGATCCTTTCACGTGAGCACTTTTTGTATTATGTCCAAAGCTTGAATAAGGCCCCATGTCATGTGCACTTATGTGTTGCTTTGTGAGGAGGATTTGTGACTTGTGAGGACCTTTCCATAGATGGACCAATTATTGAGTTGGTCCTTCAACGATCTTTTCTTTCTCTCTGGTTCTTCACATTTTATTATCCTTCAATCTCCTCTTTCTGGTGTGTTTTATTCACTCGTCATGCAAGTTCACAGAGCTTCCCGATTTGATTGTGGGCTGTTAATCTGTTTGCTTTAAGGGGAGATATTTCTTATGTGTTACTAATCATTTGATATCCAACCCTAATTGTTGGAAAGCTTTCTCAAGTTTTTTTTTTAAAATAAATTCACAGGGCTTGAATGTGAGACGTCGATTAAAATGTTAGTTAAAATGTTTAGTAGTTGAAGCACTCTTATTATAGAGAATATAAACTGTTTGGCTGAGGGTGCCTTTTGTATAGAGTTGGATGAAAGGTACTAGATTTTGGCACTCTCTGTATGTTTTTATTACACACACTCTCTCCCATAGCCTTAATTATAGGAAAAATTTAATTAATTTCATGATTCTTAAAAAATACTCTTTTTGGTTATTAGAGAAATTATCATTTTTTACTTTTTTTTATATAAGTAAAATTACCTATTTCAAGAAGTATTTATTATATATTATTTAAACCACCTTTCATAATTTACATTAATAAAAAATAATTAATGTATGTTCATGTTGGTTAATATAGAGTATTTTAGTCTTTTTTTTATTTCTAGACATAATTATTATAATTAACTAACTTTCTTAAACTATGTTATACAGTTTTTTTCTTATATATAAAAATAGAGGGAGTAATAGTTAATTCCTTAAACTTGTATTTCTTTCATTTTCAAATATAAGTAAGTTTAACTATCTCACATAGTGTGAGAAAGTTTAATTCTAATAATTATACTTGAAATTTTTTTAAAAATGGACTACAATGTCTCTGTGATTAATTAAACAAGTTTGTGGTGTGAAAATAAGTTTTGATTTTATTAGGGAAATTTGAGAAAAATATAATAAACGTTTCTTGAATTTTGCATTTTCTCTTGTAATAAAAAACAATGAAGTATGTGATATTTTTACTTATAAAAAAGAATATAGTACTCCTTTCATTCATAAATATCTAGTATTTCTTAAAGAGTTGAATGTTTAAAAATATAAGACATTTTTTATTTTTTGATGTATAATTATTGTCTTTTTTTAAAAATACCCCTATTGATAGTGACTTTATATTTATTATAGGATGTTTTAATAGAGGTAAATATAAAAAGATAGGGTTAATTTGAAAATAGATAACTATTTTGTTGGGATAAAATTTAATTAAAAATGTCTTATATTTTTAAACAGAGAGAGTATAAAAATATGGTTTTCCAAGTTTGTTCACTGTTGAAATTTATGATCATGATAGAGTGTAGTCTAGAAATTAAAAAAAGTTGACGTGTTATAATGAAGGAGAGGTGAAATTGGGGAAAAAATAACTATCATGTCTTGGCTCTACAATTAAAACTAAATAAAGCTTTAAAACTTTGCTCCATTACTACGATAGGAGATTGTGTGTGTGTGTGTAATAAAAAGGCTTATTCATTGATGATACCTGTTTATTTTCACTTAAACTAGTTGTCGGAACATATCAGCAGATCTGATGAAAATGTTTCTACAGTTCCACTTAGTTGATAAACTTCCCTTCTTTTTATTTTTGTAAAAAAATAATTATATGTTACATTGTTGCAATTATTTATAATTTATAATGTTATATATATAGCAGCCGACTTCCTCAACTGAATATTAATAATTAGGCATGAGGAAATGTTAGAGATGGACCCACTTACAGCCAATTTCCAAGTAATGATTGGATTACAAAGTGGACCCAAACTTTGGATGCTATCACATGTATATAAATACACTCTGTCGGAAAGATAATCATTATAAACATATCACAATGTTATACTTTAGACACGTTATCAATAATCAAGTTTATAAAAATAACAAGATTTTTCCATTATACTTACATATGAGGATAAAATTTAAGAACAATTCATATTATATGGAAATAATGGAAACAGAAAATGCACAATGTAGTTCGTTTTAATTTCATATTATTATATTATATTTTAATATTAACTCTAATTTTACTTGTACTTTAATATATTATTATTTTTCAATCAAAACCTTTATGCTAGTTTTTAAGTCTTATACTCACCCTGCAAAGGAGAAATAAAATAAATCAAGAAGGTCTATTATTGTATCCAACAGTTAAATGTATAGAATATTGTACTGAAACCAAGAAAAGTATGGGGTTTTTATGAAGGCAGAGAAAAGATCTTTCATTATTGTGATCTCTTTAACATTCCATAAAGAATGATAAGGTATTACACATTCCAAAATATATAATATCCTCCGTAACTATGTCTTTTACCTTCAACATATTGGAATCTCTTAGGAAAATATTACCCTGTTCAATTTAAAATGTAAGATATTTTTAATCACTTTAAAAAGATTAAAAAAATTAATTTATGTCATTAAAATGATAAAAAATTATTTTTTAGGATTATCCTCCAATTAAAATTAATACTATCTCCATTCAAAAATATGATGTATTTTTTTAGGGTTTGAATGTTTAAAAATGTAAAATATTTTTAATATTTTAAGATGTAATTAATATTTTTACCAACAGTGCATCTAATAAATAAGTCATTTTTTATTTACTTTAAAGTAAAACACCATATTAAATATGAGTCAATATGAAAAAATGATATTATTTGAAAGACAATTAACTATTTTATTGAAAATATAATTCAGTTAAAAATACTTTATATTTTTTAACGAAGTGTATTTTAATTATCTTTCATTTCTTGCTTATATAATCTCTCTTTAGTTTACAATACGATTAATGAGTGTATTTGTAAAAAAAAAAAAATTAAATGTTACCGATTTTTGTAAAGTATCTTACATTTTAAGTTAACATTAATAAACAAAAAAAAATCTTTTATTTTGTACAGAAAGAAGTATTTACGACTAGATCATATACTTCTTTAAAGTTGTGTTTGCAAGCTGTTTTTGGGAGACATCTTTGATTATAGTCATAGACTATATACATTGCTTTTCTTTTAATATAAGTCAAATTTATATTAAAACAAAATGATTAGTTAAAAAACCTAAAATATCTACGGACATGAGAAAAGAGAAACAAGGAACAAAACAAAACTCACAAATCCTACAACATAAACCAACATCATGACTCGACTAAGACCATCATGAATAAATTGTCATAGAAAATAGGATGAGCTCTCATTATAAGAATTCCTTACAACATCTGCAATATTGAACAGTGAGAATTTGTGTTCTCAAGAACATTGACTTGAGAGCAAATATGTATTCTCATAAGATTACAAGATTGCTTGAAAGGGCATTATCCCTTCTACCAAGTATGCAGTAATGCTTCCTTCATCATCACGTCAACGGCATGTCTCTAGATTTTTGTTAATGGATATATTGATTTAAAATTTTAATGTAAAATAAGAAATTTGGAAGCGCCTTGTCAAATCAAATCATAATGGAGGTGTTTGGCCCAAAAAAATAAAATGATAATGGAGGTGAAATCTTTGTTCATCATGTGAAAGATAGGGTGTGGCCATGATCTTGTGTCGGTGATTATATACAAAGCTGATTTATGACCACAAATCCACACATTAAAAATTTGTGTGTGTGTTTGTGTGTGTGTGTTTTTTTTCCCATGCAAAGGTAAAAGAGAGTGTGTGTGTGTGTGTTTTCCCCCTTGCAAAGGTAAAAGCACTTTCTCATTCTTTCCGCTGAATCCCAATAGATAAATAAATAAATTGATAGACAAAAGCACTCTCTCATATAATTGCGGGCTTCATGTGAGTTAATCATGCAGATTACCTTTTACCTTCCCCAAAAAGCTTCGTTTTCATTTTGATTACTCTCACAAAATGGCTAATTACAAATACTTCTTTTTTTAAAAAAATAAAAAACTATATTCCTTTTTATCTTATTAGGAGAACGATAAAGAGATTTTAAAAAAATAAATTAATTTTATTTAAGTCTCAAGTATTAAATTTTTAAAATTTATAATTTAATTTTTTAATTTTACAATTACTTTGTGATAAATTTATAATTTATTTTTTAAATTTTAATATGGTTAAAGAATAAAAAATTATTATTTTTTGTTAAAATTTAAAATATAAATTATAAATTCATTATAACGGAGTTGTAAAATAGAAAAATTGAGTTGTAAATTCTTAAAATTTTACACTTGGGACATAACTTTAATTAATTGATTCTTTTAAAACCTCTTTATCATCCTCCTTATCTTATTTATAAGATAGAGAGAGAATGAATTATTTAATCTTATTTATAAAGCATGACTTTTTATTACAAGTTTTCCTATTTTAACTTCATAAATGTTAGTAAGAAAAAATAAATTATTAAAATATCTATTGTTTAATAAGGACAGAGTTTGAAATTTATGAAATTTTTGGACTAAATTAATGGCTTTTAAGTTTTTTTAATTTCAATAAAAAATATTAAAAATGATTTATAAATATAATTGAATGAAGTATATTATGAACAAATGTCAGCAGAAATTTTAAAATGAATCATGTTATTTATAAATATGCAAATTTTTTATAAATTTTATATTATATATAGAAAAATTTGGGAAATTTTATTAAGTGCACTAATTTATTTTAAAAAATAAACATCCACCGAAAAAGCCCACAGAAAAGGATTTTGGAAAATTTGAACTTGCAAGTAAACGTTTCCATTATATATTCCAATAGTATATGTTAATCTAGGGATTTTGCTCTTTTTTTTGGGTTGTTTTGTTTTGTCATTATACATTCCTGGACTTCACTATTTTCTTTTTCACATTAACACCCAGTACCTTGGACTTAACCCACGTTGAGCTAATAAAACTTTAATAGAATTCAGACTAATCTAAATTGAGTTAGATCAAGACCCTTTTTATTAAAATTTTTACCATTAATTGCTATTGTATTTTTGAAATTTGAACTCGAAATCTCTATTTAACATATACTATTCCCTTCCTAGTTGAAACAGAGCACCCAGTGAATTGTAATAATATGCATTCACCAGGGGCATTTCCGTCACTAAACACGCCTGCGATTGCTAAGCCTACGAAGTCATGCTCTTCCTTATAAGCATCCTCTGGCTTGATTCAGATATTCGTTCACTCACTGTCACTTTTCAGAGCGAACTATACAGAGACACACACACTCTCTCTATCTCTCTCAACCATCACTTGCTTCTACAGAGAGAGATAATGATGAGTTCTTTTCTATTTTTGGTAACTCTGATTCTTGCCGTTTCTTTCTCCGTTCACTCTTGCCCGCCGTCCGATCGGGCGGCATTGTTAGCCTTCAAGGCCGACCTGAAGGAGCCCTACTTGGGCATCTTCAACTCCTGGACCGGTACAAATTGCTGTCTAAATTGGTACGGCGTCAGCTGCGACCCTTCCACCGCCCGCGTCGCCGACATCAACCTCCGCGGCGAGTCGGAGGACCCGATATTCGAGAAAGCTGGCCGCACTGGCTGTATGACTGGCACAATCTCGCCGGAGATTTGCAAGCTCGACCGCCTCACCAACGTTGTTGTTGCAGACTGGAAGGCCATCTCCGGTGAGATTCCCGACTGCATTGTCTCCCTCTCCTCTCTCCGCGTGCTCGACCTCATCGGTAACCGCCTGTCCGGCGAGATTCCTGCTGGAATTGGAAACTTGCAGCGGCTCACGGTGTTGAACCTCGCCGACAATGCCATCTCAGGCAGGGTTCCTCCCTCCATCGTCAACCTCGCAGCACTCATGCACCTCGACCTCAGCAACAACCAGCTTTCCGGCGAACTTCCCTCCGATTTCGGCAAACTCAGCATGCTCAGCCGCGCGCTGCTGAACCGAAACCAGCTCACCGGCTCCATCCCAACGTCCATCTCCTCCATGAGCCGGCTCGCGGACTTGGATTTGTCCATGAACCGTCTCTGCGGTTCAATCCACAGCGAGCTCGGTTCAATGCCGGTTCTTTCGACCCTCAATCTAGACAGTAACTCTCTGTCGGGTCAAATCCCTCCAAACCTGCTGGGTAACTCGGGCATGGGCATCCTGAACTTGAGCCGAAACGCGTTGGAAGGCCAAATACCAAACGTGTTCGGGTCAAAATCATACTTTATGGTGTTGGATTTATCATATAACAATTTGAAGGGTCCGATACCCAGTTCTCTATCATCGGCCAAGTATATCGGGCACCTGGACCTGAGCCATAACCACCTGTGTGGGTCCATACCCGTCGGGTCTCCGTTTGATCACCTTGGAGCTTCCTCCTTTGCTAACAATGACTGTTTGTGTGGAAATCCCTTGAAGACTTGCTGAGAAGCGACCCGACCCAGAAAGAGTTTCGGGTACCCGGAAAGCCACCAGTATGTGTGTGTGTGTGTTGATTCTCACAAACAAGTCACATTCAAGCAATCAAACGTGTCACTGTGTTTGATTTTTTATATCAATTCGTAACATATAATGTGTGATATATATCCGAGTACGTTGATAACTTGATATGTTACTTAGTACGAAATATTTTGAAGTGAAATTGAGAAGGGGGAAGAAGAGAGATGTATCTAAATGGTATAGTGCTTGACTTAACTGTGAAATATTCCCAACATCACCTGCTTAGGAGCATAAATGATAAGTCATTGGGCAAAGGTCAAGAAAGTGTTTAATATAATACTTCCTGTATTGCACGTGAAGTTAGTTTCACTTGTATTGTTGAAAAATAAATTGGCTAAGGCTTTTATGCATTGGGTTTTAATATTTGTCTAAGATGTGAGGGTTGCTACTTTATTGGGATTGTGAATGTATATAACCTAGCAATGTCTGTCAAGAATTTTACGAATCTATGGCCGATGATATGGTTGTGATCACTTGTTAAAACCTTGAGTTCTGCCTTCATCATATAAATTATATTAAAATTATTTATAGATATGTACAGGGAAAGTTCCATCCTGACAAGTTAGTATGAGCTTATCTGTATGCATATATGTGTGTGTGTTCTCTGTTTGAATAATTATCTTAGAGTATTGAATACAAATGATATACTTCTTCTAAATAAATATTTGAATTTTTAATCACTTGTTTAAATAGTGTGAGTGTGTATTATTCATGCAAATTTGAGTTTAGATGTTTTGGCTGGTCTTAAAGATTCCTTAGATGTTTTGGTAGGTCTTTAAGATCCCTTAGGTTGTGTCTAGATAGGTAGATTTAGGTTGAGAATTTAAATTTAAAATTTCATATTAAAAATTTATAAATTTTAAATTTTTTATTTAAATGATATAAAAAATTTAAATTATAATATTAAAATTTTTCGTGTGGTCTGGTCCTAGTTAAAGATAGTAGTTCAATCCTAGTTGGTACTGCTTGTGCGATTTAAGTCAAAGTTAATTGTTCGATCTCGGCTGGCGTTGGCTATCTAGTCCTTATTAGTGTTGGCTGTCAAGTCTAGGTTGACGCTAACAATCTGATCCCAATTGGGGCTGGCATTCTGGTCCTAATCAACGCTGGCGATCTGGTCTCGAAGGATGTCGATTGGAGACAATGATGACAAAGTAGCGAATTTGACAAATGAACGTGAAAAAGGAGAGAAACTTTCATTAAAAATTAAAATAATAAGAGTTTAGTTATTTATAAAGGATTTTAAATTATAAAAGAATTAAGGTAGGATTTATATTTAGATTTTTAAATCTACACATTTTTCAAATTCAAATTCACACATTTTTAATTATTAAAACAATAAATTTAATTTAAATTTAAATTTAAATTTTAATTTACATGCATTCAAACATAACATTAAAGTATTTAAAAAGGTGAAAGAAAAAAATTGATGATGAAATTCATTGATAGCTTGGCAGGGTAATTGGGACATTACCACCAAGAGTGAAAAATTTATAGCAGTTGAAGTTAAAAGGCGATAGAGGTGAAAAAATAGTAAAAGCAGGAATTAAAGAGGCGACCTAATGAACTGCCTTTTAATTCCATTGAATTGAATTTGCATGAGATCATGTGGTCAGGGTCCCCTGCCAGACTGACACCCACATTCAATTCGCCCTCTTTCCATGTGACCATCTGCACCCATTCAATTGGTCTTCGCCTATTTATATTTCAAATTTCAATCACTTTCCCATCTGTTTTTGGATTGACTCTTTTGTCTTATGTCATCTTGCCTATTATTAGATTATAATCTCTTCAATCTTATTTAATTCACTGTCAATATATTTTATGAGAATTAAAAAATTTTAAAATTATAGATTCTATTTAAAAAGTTAATGAGTTTTTAATTTTTTATTTTTATTAAATATACATATATATATGTTAATAATATATATTTTTCATCTACATATAATAAAAGATTAAATAAAAAATTTATGGTAAAAAATTAATAATATGTTTTATAAATATGATCAAAACATTATTTTTTATTTGTCTTGTAAATAAAATTAAAGGGAGTAAGTAGATCATCCTTCTATAAATTACTTTTCATAAAAAGATAAGCTTTTAATTATTTTATTGCAATTTTTTCTTTTTACAAATTTTTAAATAGTACAAGAAGTTGCATATGAAAAAAATGTATATTCTTTTTTAAAGAAAAAATTAATATTCTTAAATATAATATATTTAACTACCCTTCAAATGTAGTGAGGTGGTTAGACTTGTCTTATATTAAACCAAAGAGAGGGACATTATATTTTAAAATCACACTCTCCTATATCTATTCAATGGTTCAAGAATTTCATTTTAGAATGTTTAATGAGAATAATTAAAATCAAGTCAATAAGAAAGAAATATTATCCACCTCATCAAATCCAACAAGAAAAGAAAGAAATATTATCCATGAAGTAGTTCTTAGACTTTAAGTGTGAATAATGAATACATGGACATTTTTACCTTAATATAAGGTATAAAATATATGAAAGAATTATTTACAACTCATAAATATTAAGATAACGTTTTTATTGATGGACTTAAATTTAATTTTAAAACTTAAAATCTCACATTGAAAATTTATGCATTAAAATTTTTTTTTGGATAGTATTAAAAATTTTTTCTCTCAAAGAACTAATTTAATGTGAATAAAGTTTCAATAAATTGAAAAATGCTTACCAAATCCCAACAATATTTTCATGAAAAATGAAAAGACAGAATTATCCCTCCTTCTATAAGACAATAACTGATGCAAGTAACTTCATCCCCCCCCTCTCTGTACATGTTGGCAATTTATATTATAAAATAATAATCAAATTCCAAAATTCTATCTTTTGTGTTTTTTAATCTTTTTTATTGGCCTTTTTTTAATCCTTTTGACCTCTATTATTTTCAAAAACTGTAGCTTCCAATTTCTAATCAAAATTTAAGAAAGGTTATTGTTTGAAATTTAAGGATGACAACTATTATTAAATATTTTTTACCAGTTATAATCAAATATGTTAGGAAAAATTCACAGCAATGATGTTCAATATAACTTGAAAAACCAAAATAAATTTGTGACAAAATTTTTATTCAAATTACTTAAATATATTAAAAATTTAGGTTAAATAAATTTTGAAGAGAAAAACCAAATAAAATATTATATTTTTTAAAATTAAAATGAGTTACTCCTTCTGTTAAAAAATGTAAAATATTTTTTGACGAGTTATATATTAAAAAATGTAAGACATTTTTAGTCTTTTGAGATATAATTATTGTCTTTTTTTAAAAAGTGTCCCTATTGATAATAACTTTATATTTATTGTAGAGTGTTTAATAGAGGTAAATATAGAAAGATAAGGTTAGTTGGAAAGTGGATAATTACTTTATTGAGGGTGAGATTCGATTAAAAATGCCTTATATTTATTTTTAAGTGTTAATAATAGTTTGCTTAAGTATGTATATATGTTTTTAAAGAATTTTAATCATCATACCTGTATAGCCTTATTGGCTTATATGGTAATATGATTTAGCCTGAATATCTACGGAGATTCTAAAATCTCTCACGATAAAGGAATTAAATTTAATTAATTGATTTAATTAGTTATATAATATATATATATATATATATTTAAAAATTTAATCGTTATATCTGCAAATAATACGATTATCTTAGAAGTCTATGGAGATTCAAAAATCTAACATAACTAAAAGAGATAATCGGTAAATGTGATTACAACTTAAATTCATTAATTTGATTAATTAATTTTTCTAAATTGTGTATTACATGATTATTTACAAAAAACATTTATTTATTATAGAAATTGATAATCACTATATTTTTGAGGACTTATTATCCCCACGATGATGTGATTAATTTAAATCTCTAAGAAAATTTTTGAAATCTCACATGAGACTTAAATAAATTATTAATTTGGGTTATAAAAAAGAAAGTTAAATTTAATGATGGGCCTTTTGAACCCATATTAACATATAAGTTTTACTCTCATATCTGCGAAACCTTATTGATTTACACGATATGAGATTATCTTAAATATCTGCAGAGATACAAGGTCTCACATGATAAAAGGATTAAATAATATTCGCTTTGAATATATTTTAATGCGTAATTATATAACGCATATTTTTAATATAAAAATCTTAATTATTATACCTGTGAAGCCTTATTGACTCACACGGTAGTACGATTATCTTAAAGGTCTACGGAGTTTCAAAAATCTCACATGACCAAAAGATATAATGGGTAAATATAATTATAATTTAAATTCATTAATTTAATTAATTAAAATTATAAAAATATTTTTTATTTTATTTACAAAATTCATTTATTTATTTACCATATAAATTGTGAATCACGATATCTGCATAGATTTATTATCCTACACGATAATGTGATTAATTTAAGTCTCTATAAAGATTCTTGAAATCTCTCACGAAACTTAAATATTTTATTGATTATAAAAGATAATTAATTTTGATGATGAGTCTTTGAAACCCATATTATTATAAAAAATTAATCCTCATACCTATGAAATCTTATTAATTTTCATGATATGGGATCATTTTAAATTTAAATATTTGCAGGGATTTTTGAAATCTCACATTGCAAATAGATTTAAATATTATTTATTAAGAATTTTACAACCAACAAATAATTGTGAAGCTCATGGTCAGAAATAATGTACAATGCCACACAAAATAAATCATGTAATCTATCTAAATTTTGAAATTTTCTAATTACTCCATTAATCCCATAGATTAAGCTTTGATGAAGGAACAAGAAAAATTATTACCCGTTTGATACTGAGCCATTACTCTCCACGTCTTCACCTTCCATATGATCCGTTAGCTTCTCTCTCCTCCTCCTTCATTCACTTTGTCTTTGTTTCTCTTCTTCTCTCTAGTTTTTCTCACCTTGTTTTTCTTCTTTGCTTTGGTTGCCCAGTAGACTGGCTCTTCCTTGGCTACCGGCTTGCTGACTCTAGCGGTATCCTATTGTTTCTTACCAATGGTTGAGTTTGAAGCTGAAGCTGTAAATAACTCCTACAAAATTCCAAAACCGCGTGAACCCGTGCTAATAGACCCACTCGTGCTCTGTTTTGACATGCCCTTTTTGCATGGCTGTCTCTCTCTTTTTTCCATGCTTTCTCCCTCATTTCCTCGGCTTTCCTCTTATCCCCGTGCTCTTGTTTTCTTCTTCTTCTTCTTTTCCTGTCTTGCTCTATTTTTTTCATTCTCGGTCTTCCTCTCTTCTCTTCCTCTCTCGGACTCTCTCCTCTGCCTTTGTTCTTCTTTCTCGGTCTCTCTCTCATCTCTCACTCTTCGTCTCCTTCTTATCCTCCATCCTCTCTCAGACTCTCTCCTCTGTCTCTGTTTTTTTGTTTTCAGTTTCTCCTCCCTCTGCTCTGTTTTCTCGCTATCCTTTTATGCTCTCTCATTCCTTCATTTTCTGTCATTTTTCATGCTCTTTTCTTCTCCCTTTACTGCTCTGTATGCCGCA